TTGAGAAAAGGCCTTCTTAGCTCCCACAAGATGACTCAAAAAAAGCAAAAAAGAGTTAAAATTGATCCATTTTATCTAATACTGAAAGTCTGCCGATTTAACTAACGTAAAGTGAAAAGTTGTCTCTCCTCATTGGAGTACCGGAGCAAAGTGGGTCAGAGGGCAAAGGTCACGCGGTGGCGCCCTCTGCCCTACACTAGATAGACGGTGTGGCACAGGCGCAGCACAGAACCCTCCAGAGGTGGCGTTAAAAAAAAACAAACGAGGATACTGGGGGATTTTCCCCAAACAATTCCACAAGATAAATGTCTGAAGTCAACACGGTACTGTACTAGTGTTCAAGTGTTGCCATCTTTTGAAAATTGCTGACTCGGACGGCAGGTCAGGTTTGTTCGAATAGAAGTTCCTGACGCATGCGCAATGTCATTTTATAATGCGAAGAATAACGTGCATGACGGTTCTAAATCAGTTACAGTTAGGGACTAGGGACTTGCATAAGAGTAACCTAAATTAAGAAAGAATAGGTACAGATGACTTAGCTCGGTAACACTATACTGTACATACATGGGGCCTCTTAGTTAAAATTTGCCTTGGCTATAACGCGCCATTGCTTCTTTAAATAGTCTACATAGATCGTTTAAATCAGTGATTCCAGTGGTTTGCTGTACCGTAGTGGGGGCGGAAAAATTACCTTTTAGGGGGCGACAAAATTTCACAATAAATAATAATAATATCTTGTAAAAATTTGAAACATCCTAATCTATACTTGCATCGTGCCTACGATAGTGCTATCGTCCAGACAGTCCGGAAATCGGCTTGCCGGGTGAACTAGTAACTTTTTTTTTTTTGCTTGTACGATTCATTTGCGTTCATATACACCACTAATATCCAATAGAACTATTTTAAACAGGTCGCTGCACTACCACCGAATTTTTCATTGTTCTGTGACAAAACTGAATTTTGGTCTTTTAAATTGAAATACCTAAATAAGGGGGGACCGAAATTTTCCTCCGTCCCGGGCGACTGACATCCACGGTACGCCACTGAGTGATTCTCAAACTTTCCGATTCACCGCCCATTTTGTTCCATAAAGTTATATCCAATGCCCCATAACCCATTTTCTCTTGTGTGAGAAAGGCTTGGAAATATTCTAAGGAAAACGTTTCTATGAACTTCACACTTTGTACTGTACACTGTACCCTGTTATCAACATCTGGAAACCATTAAACACAATGTTTCTTCTTACCTGTTTAACAGAGGAAAGAGAAAACTTGTCAGTGACCCCAATCTTTGCCTATGGTCACCGTTCAGTACCCTTCCCCGTGCCACTTACTTGCTTCTTTTCGCTCCCCTAGATTTACTCACCGCCACAGTGGGGCATAGAAGAACCACTGGCCTAAATGAATGAATATAGAGTGGAAAGAAATTGTTTGTTTGATTGTTTAGTTATGGCAACGCAACACTTGGGCGGTGTCCCTAGAGGGATGCCTTCCAGGAGGTCTTTTTAAGGGAAACTGGCCCCTATTTAGGCGTTACAGACGTGGAGAAAACCCGGCAAACTCCACGTGGCCAGACCGTCCGAGCAAAGCGCGAACCCACGACCGAACTCCCAGTGTTCAGCGAACGAAGACCTCTTTCCCACTGATGGGTGGAAAGAAATTAACTTCCGAGCATATGATCAAAACGGTTGTTTTTGCAACCACTAATATAAAACTAGTATGGCTGAGCTCAGTTTTGTTCACTATGGACAAACATGATTCGTAACTAATTTCAGAGAACGTATAATTAGCTTTTCGAAGGTACTGTCCGCGTGTCCGCTGTGTTTGGCATTTGTCCGCTTTTTTCGCTGATGCTTCTAATTATCAATCTTTATAAGTGTTGTTTCATTTTATATGTTGTTTTAATGATTTAATTAAAATTTTTTGATGAAGTTGGATGGTTTTTTATGTTCATTGGATGATTTGTTTCCAAATGTCTTTAAAAGCTCGAAACCTGTAAAAGTTTCGCTACAAATTATACAAAATGATACTGGTAGATGCTCACCATTAACTTTCTTATTTGGTTGTTTTATTTTATTCGTATATCCCAACGTAGGCGATCTGCCGAGGAGGAATGTCTCCCGAGAAGTCTTTTATGGGAACTGCCCCCTCCCCATTTAGGTGATACTAATGTGAAGAAAACCGGAAAACACGTGGCCTGGTGGCCAGCCCGTTGGTAAAGCATGAATGGGAAAGTTTATTCTAAATTAATGTTCTGTATTTCTCCATTTTGTATTATTTGTTTTTCCAACTAGGTTCTTTTAATGGTTGTAGTGTATGTTCTAATGTAGACCGAGGATTGTGAACGAAACCTTTCAGTAAGATCAAATATATATGCAGTAAACAAAATTTCGCTGAAAATATAGGGTGTTCGTTTATGATTTTAAATATTATCCAGTTTGTTTAATTAGTGGTATTATTTTAAATGTCAGGAATTTGCTTTATTAGAAAAAGAATCTTATTTTCTAAATTTAAACACTCACCTCCTGTTTCATTGTATAATGTACTAGCAGACCCCGCCACGCCTTGTTGTGGCTCAAAATGTATCTATTATAAATGTATAACACTTTCCCCGTGGGGGAAAATTTTTCTAAAAATTGTACATTCTCTTGACGTACCCTATTAAAACGCAATCAAAAATGCAAAAAACAGCATCTAAATAGTATCTAGTATAAATAGAAGCAGAGTTCTTTACAGGGTAAGCCTTACATAAAGAACTGTCCATCTCCCATGTTTAACGGAATAATATACAGCCTATGTCCACCCTGAAGTTCCATTCTAAATATTGGTGAAAGAATTTTTGAAATCGGATTAGTAGTTTCGGAGATTACCTGCTGCATACAAACTAACATACATACATTACCTCTTTATAATATTAGTATATAGTACTGTAACTGCCTTTCTAACACTTGCAAGTTTTCACCTGTTTCTTTTTATCTATAGGGAAAGTGATATAGTATTTATTTTTTTTTTACATCTTTCTCTACTGCAATTGAACAAACATTTAAAAATTGTGCACTGTAGCATATTTTGGTTGAATTATTTAACATAATCACTGAACAAAGACATTTTTAAATTTGCTATTAAAATACCATTAATTTCAACATGAAATGATTATTTTGTCATGCACAATACATATTTAGAGTTTATATTGCAGATTTTGATTTAAAGTTCTTTATTGAGGAAGAGCGTTAGTGAAACCTCTTCTATGTGGCTTACAGAATTGTGTTCGTTTTCAAAATCTGTTCGATCGATTTTGATTAAACTTTGCCATTTTCCATTAATTGCGATGAGGAATCCAAAAATGTAATAAAAAATGGGAGTCCATGACTTCGTTTTCGAGATATAAGGTCGTAGCACAATTTTTGTTACCTTTCTTAATCCTCACTTTCTAAGTGCTGTCGCTCATTACTAAGTGTAACGAGATCTCAACCTAGATCGTGGAATGAGTCAAAATCGACTTTTAATTCGTTCCCAACCAGATAGTTGATCTTAGTACTTACATTGTCTAATTTCCTGTTTTATTTCTGAGAAAATATTTTTTTTCATTATTTTTTCTTTTATGGAAATAAAATATTAACGAATGTAGTGTGGTTCTGAGACATTTCTGGAGCCTCAAACACAGACAAGCTGTATCTCTGAAAACATAGCTCTGTGCACTCAAAATCACTGTCGCATTGCTCTGTAGGCCTATGCCCCACAACTAGAAAATGACACTAGATCTGCTTAAATTTACCTGATTGCACCAGCACAAAGTAGAGGAAAATCAGAATCCAGTTTTTATTTTGCCCTTTGCAGTTATCACTGATGATGTTCCTGAAACATTGTTTTGTGGTAAGTATTTCAGTAGGCAACTTGCAATTTCAAAATACAGTAGAGCGTCGATTTTCCGAAAGTCAATCATCCGAAAGAAATCCAGTCTGCAAATTTAAATTTTCGCCAGTGCTGTGGCGCTTCAATCTTTGGCTATGTCTTAGGCTACTCAAATATTTTACGTTTTTGATACTAAATTAACATCTGAAGTATATTTTTTTATTGTTTTTATATTTTTCAATATATATATTTTTTGTTTGTACAAAATAAAAAAATAATTTTTAACGATACAGTAGTCTTTGTTAGAATTAACATCGAAGAAAATTCAACGCGAAGCGACACGCAACGGAGAAAAATTTCAACATCGGATACGTTGAACTATTTTTTCGTACACAAATCGGTTATCCGAAATATCAATTATACGAACAACCCCAGTCCACAATTGATTCGGAAAATCGACGCTCTACTGTAACTACATTTAGCAATACTTTAAACAGTTGTTTTTTTTATGGGTTGAATGTGTTTTACAATTATGTATTCCACAGTTGTAACCATAGTCTTGTATAAAACCAACCCTGACAGATAATTTTGGAGTTGGAAGTGCTTGATGAAAGTCAATGGTAATAACATGATACTTCTCAGATGTGATTGAGCTAATTAATTTTTGAGAAACTATTGTTAATTTGATTGCTTTCTCCTTTCAGTTTGATGTAGGTTAGCTCTTATTACTCAAAACAAACAGTTAACATTGATAAAAAAAAACATACTGATTTACTGCTGAGTCAAGTAAACTTACATCAGCCATCTATTGACAGATAGTACACACTATTATTCTGCATAACTTTGTTTATGAATCTTAATTTTCACAAAAGTGAGAGCTAATGCCTTATTGCACTAACCCCTTCATATAACAGAGCCAGGAAAGTAAAAATTAAATTGTTACATATCTATATTATAAATCATCATCAGAAACACAATAAAGATTTATACTATTACAAATTTTTAAAAATTGCTTCAAAAGATTCTGGAACATTTCAAATGCCTTGGTTTTCTAAAACAAGATGTTTTACTGCATTTTGATAGACAAATACATTGTAAATGAGTATTTAAATGAAATAATTTGAGAAAAATTAGTTTCAAATATTTTATTATTATACAAACTGGCAAATCAATTACATAAATTCACAAATACAAAACTATATATTGAAAATATGAGATTCAATATATTAATTCATAGTTAATTTTTTAAATTTACAAACACTTATTGTATCTTATGTCATATTCTGAAGTTGAATTACACAATATTTTATTATGTACAAGATGATTATTCATCATTATAAAATAATAAATATAACTTACATTATTTCAATTACATATCTACAGAATAATAGCATCTTTTTTTATATAGAGTACTTATTATATCCATTTAATTCAACAACTTTAAAATAGAAAATTTTATATATATTCAGAGTTTATCTAATGAGAAAAAAATAATTCTGAACTTTATTGTCAATTTTACAAATGTTAAAGTTCCAGTGTTAAATATGTAGCCAGAAAACTTATTTAATTTATGTTTGAATTAACTTTGAAATTAAATATAAATAAAAATTTTTTGTATTAATAATACAAAAAATATTCATTTATATTTAATGAACAAAGAAATAAAAAAAATATCCAAGAAAAATGTTAAGCAATAACAAATGATTAGGAAATATTTAAATTTTAATATGAAAAGAACTCAAAATAAAACATTTTAATTAGTAAATTTAACAATTACATTTGAATTCTTTTATTAATAAAAGCTATTTGTTCTCAGTACAACAAATCTATATAATAAAATTTTTTTAATATTTAAAATTCAAATTATATACGCTTTGTATAAACATTAAAAGTTTTTCAGGCATGAACACATTACACATCAGGTAAGGTATACAATGGACCACTATTACTTGAACTAATTATGCGCTGTCTTTCTCGAGCCATACTGACAATAACATTCTCTTGTTCATGATAACGACATAATTTACACGTAGACAAAACAGTCAAAAACACCCAGCATACCCACGAACTCCAAATTGCAAACTAAAAAAGAAAAAAAATTTTTTTTTTCTGAATTATTTTCATTAAAAATCATAATAAGTATAATACAATTATATACTGCTCAGAAATTAGAGATAATGCAATATTGACCTTACACAGATATATAAGCAATATCTTCTACAGTATTTCCTATGTTTAACAGTTAAATTAAATTTTGCACACTAACATTTTTGTTGTTTAAACATTTTTTTGAAACATAGAATAACATTCTATGCTTGGACCATTAAATCTTTATTTTTTAAAAATAGTAGAGCAATAAAAAGAAAGAATTTCTAATAGGATGTGGTCACCTCTAACTGCTAACATGCCTGTGTGACGTAGATGAAGTAAGGTTATTAAATTGTTCTTGGGGCATTGTTTTCCATTCCTTTTCTAGGATGTGTTCCAGTTCCTAAATGGAGTAACTGACAGATATAATTATGACTTCCTAGCTTCAATTGTGTTTAATGCAAACCAGTCCATGCTTTCACACCTTCCTTTTGAAGCATGTTCATAAACACATGCCTACAGAAAACAACTGTTATCATTTCATAAGAATGAACAAATTTCCAACTACTGCAGCATAAGGAATGATAAGTCTCAGAATTTCATCTCAGCATCTTATTTGTGATGTTTTACAGCCATCAGAACTTATGCATCCCCTCAACTCTTTCACCAAGAGTGTTATACCTGTATGAAGCAGAGGTATTGTAAGAATTTACACCTCTGATTAAAATTTATTGGTTGTTCAGTTTTATTCTAAACTACTCATTAGAAAAAAAAAAAAGAAAAAACTGTTTGTCATTGATTAGCATCCAGTCTCTATGGAACATAGAGATTGGAGTCCTATACTTTAATGCTTGCAGTGACAAACACTTAATAGAGGTTTTGTGTCCTTTTAGGAACTGCAACTTGTAATTGTAGATAAACAATCTTACTTATGAAGATGACTTTGAATGTCTTGTATGACTATAAACCTTCCTATGCCTGCAGCAAATGTCTGTTGCAGTTCAGTAATTTTCTATTACTTTTGACTATTGAAATAGTCAAAAGTAATAGTCAAATTGTGAAAAGTAATGATCATCTCTTGATGTAATCATTCATTGATAACTTGTCCAGTTCTATGCATTGTTGCTGTTTCTAAGGGTGCGTTTACTTCTGAGTTAGCAGTGCTAATTCTGATAACCGGATGTGACGTCATTAGCACGTGTATTCATGCTTGCTCGTCCAATTCGAAAGTGAACACATACGCTAACAAGAAATATGGCTGGAAACCGTCATATTTCTTGTTAGCGTATGTGTTCACTTTCGAATTGGACAAGCAAGCATGAATACACGTGCTAATGACATCACATCCGGTTATCAGAATTAGCACTGCTAACTCAGAAGTAAACGCACCCTAAGAAACAATGCCACAATCTGCTTATTATACTGTAGGTCAATCCAAGAATTCATGTCATGACCTGCTGTATTTGACCAGCTCTAGCCTTCTAGTCACATTCCAAATCATAAAATCTGATAAATCTTTGAGTAGACATCATTTAATTAATAATCTGTAGCAGATTTTTTTTCATTTTCAATAAAATTTGAGCAAGTTTCTGAGTGCTGAACTTAAGCTCAACTTCCTCCAATCATAATCACTTACATAAAAAGAGTAACAGTGTAAATTTGCATGTTTACTGTATTCTTTTACAATGGTAATCAATAATTTAGTAGTCAAAGCCCAAATTATACTAATAATCAAATAATAAGCCAGATTAGCCCAATTAATTAGATAAGTCATAGATCAATAGTCAACCCAGCTCTATCATTCAATCATTTAGGCCAGTGGTTCCCAATTAGTTTTTCCTATGTATCACTTCAAAAAAGAGCTCAAACTCGCGTACCCCTTTACAGCAGAAATTCATATTAATCCATACTATTATTATAAATTTGAAGGCAATTCTGTCTGTCTGTCACCTTTTCACATCTAAACCGCTGAACAGGTTTTAATAAAATTTGGCACAGAGATAGCATACATGTTGGAGATGAGCATAGGCTACATTTTACTGTGAGAAATTATCTTACTCCCATGAGAAAATTCGATATAATGCGGGTGAAGCTGTGGGTAGACAGCTAGTGATAAAATAAGTTTTTTTTACATTTTTTACATACCTTTAAAATACAATTTTAATAATAATGAAAATAATGTAAGGTTATTTAATTTTAATGTGACAAATGTGCACGATTTTCTTTGCACAACTTTGTAAAATCTGGTTGCTTTTTGGTCAGCTTCAGTCTCAAGTCATCTTCGAGTCGAAGTTGGTGACGATGTTTAGTTTTCATGTTTGTCATGGCCGAAAATCCGCTTTCACAGAAATATGTTGTGCAAAATGGTAGTAAATATTTTATTGCCACTTCGCTGACATCATAAATTCTAGCCCAATTTAGAAGCGAGATGTCGCAACTGATTATTAAACTCAGTGAAGTCTCATTATACTCTGCGAGAAGTTGCATTGTCGCACGCGAGAAATAACAGCTACAAAAATTTTCAAAATTAATTTTGCGAAAACAAATTGTGTTAATTGTACAATTTTTGTTTCTTGTGTAAGAATTTCATTTAGGTATTGTCACAAATGCATTTTTTGATGAAATTTCAAGAATATTTTTAGTTATAAATAAACGAATTTGTGCATTTGACGTCATGTTGTAAATTGCTGAAATTTTGATGGTCCACTCATTATTTTTTTGATTGCTTCATCTCATGCATTTAAATTTTAAATCAACCAATTTTAGATTGCTGTGTGTACCCCTTTATGCAATTTCGCATACTCCCAGGGGTAGGCGTACCACTAATTGGGAACCATTAATTTAGGCATTTAAAGAAAATGTATGTTAATTAATAATTTCCTGATTTTTATGTAGAATCATGCTGATATTCCATCATCATCTCATTTTTTTGAGCAGAGTATTCTAAAATGGAAAAATATAAGGATTCACTGCTATTGATAGTACAGGTAACCCCCGTATAACATGGTGCTTTTATAGCATGAGTTCACTCTAACATGGTTTGGGAATTGGGTAAAACCCTCGTACAACATGAAATGTAATAAAAATGTTCTTTTATACCTCCACGCGAGCATTCTAATTGTTTTCGTGGCTACTTTGAATGCTCTTTAAACAATAATCCATTAAATGGTTAAATTTTACAATTGGGACCCTTCTTTTGCCTCTAAAAGCTCATTTTAGAATTATATATTCCTCCATCATGATACTATTGATAGTGCGGGCGGCACCATCTTTCTTTCACCGTCATTCCTAAATGCCTACAAACAGCAACGCACTCCTGTTGCAGAGTGACTGCTATTAACAAACACACCCAAAAATTGTTACCAGTTGATGATGCTCATGCTGAGATCATCATATAGGATGAATAATCCTCTGGTAAAATATTTATTTAAATAATAAATAAGTATTTCACCTATGAAAAAAATGAATAATAAATCCGATTTAAAGAAGGATTTAACAGCATGTTTNTACCAGTTGATGATGCTCATGCTGAGATCATCATATAGGATGAATAATCCTCTGGTAAAATATTTATTTAAATAATAAATAAGTATTTCACCTATGAAAAAAATGAATAATAAATCCGATTTAAAGAAGGATTTAACAGCATGTTTTTTTAATTTTTGGAACCTAACCCCCCTTTTCGCACTAGTTCTTTGTTTCATATAACACAGATTTGCATAACATGGCAATTTTTTGTAACGTATAACATGTAACCTGTACTAAAATAAGCATAAATTTTATGAAATACAGTTGACCCCCGTATAGCACGGGTTCCTATAGTTTAGATTCCTATATCACGGTGAAAAAATTGCGACAGTATTCATACAAACATGCTAAAAAATCTCCTATAATTCGGTAAAACGTCATCGCCGACTCGTGTCGCGAAAGGATTGCACAAACTGTTGAGTTTAAACAAGCAGCGGACCTACCAAAAACCATTTATTATTTAATGTCCATAAAAATTATATTTATATTAATGATGTCTCCAAAGTTCAGCAAATTTTTTGCAAAAAAAATAATTTATCAGGAAGCACACGAGCGCCATTCGATGACAATCTCCACAATGAAAACAAGCTTAAGCAATGGTGTAGTCGGACGGTGCACACTCGGTAAGTAATCCTACAATTTTTTGTTTATAGCATAGTTTATATGGATTATTCCCAAAAAATTATATGTATTTTGGAAATGTTGAGTCGAATTAGTCTAGAATAGATTAATTTTATGGAAGAAACCTTTCAAACAGCCGTAGTCCGTAAACTGCATATGTGCCGGGCTGTGATTGGCTGGATTCCTAGAAGCTGGATTCATAAAAACAGGAACGTATCTACCGTGTTATAGGGGGTCAACTGTACACAGGAACCAATAAAAAATAAAATGCTAACTAAATCATAGAAGTGTTAATTAGCTGGGACTAAACAATTTTTGAGACTCAAATTTATCATCAGATTAAACGTACATTTTAAAAATAATAAACATAAGACAATTTTAATAAAGAATCCATCTTATGCCCTATCTGTCAAATCAAATTCTAAATTTGTTTTTAATCGTCTTAAATGTTACGTTGTTCGGAAAGTAATTTCATTTTTTTCCTTGGAAAAAAAAAACAATATTTTTATAATAAATAAATATTTTGTTGAATTATTTATCGACCATTTTGGTCAAATACTTGTTGTCATCGTTTCTGGTAGTAGAATGATTTCACATTCATAAAAGTTTTGATCGTTGCTTACAAAAAACTGATCCAAGTGATTTTTGCCATTGTCATTTCAAGTAAATATCTTACAGTTAAAAAAAATTTGTATAGACCGGAACAAGTAATAATCTGAGTGTGCTCAATTTGGCGAGTATGGTTGTGCGATAGCACGTCCCATCTAAGTTATAACAGTTTCTGAGGAGTTACCAAACTTGTGTGAAATTTGACATTATCATAGTAAAACACTACACCTGTTTTGTTGATCAATTCTGGCCGCCTATTCTGTTTGATGATATTACTCAATTTGTTTACTCGATGGCAGTACACTTTCGAATCAATTGTTAAATTGTCTGGCAAAAGCTCTAAAAAAAAAGTCCTTAAAATTCCACCAAAGAGAGCATCTCTTTTTAAAAACATGTGGAACTCATATATCAAGCTTTGAAATGAAACCAATTTGTTTCAAGTAATCATAAACAGTTCAATTTTACAAATTTAATCTTTTAGTGATTTCACATGTTATTATTTGGCAGTTTGCTTCAATCAGTACCTTTATTTTGTTTTCATTGGCTTCAACTGGCCATCCAGAACGTGGTGCATCTTCAATATTGAAATTGCCAGAACAAAATTTTGTAAACCAGTTTTGACACTGTCATTCTGTCAATACATCTTCTCCATACACGTCACACAATTCTTTTCTCTCTTGAATGGCATTCTTACCTTTTCGGTAATAAATGAGCAAAATATGCCAAAAATGCTCCTTTCGATCTTCCATATTTGATGGGACACAAAAAATAAACAATTGTACAAAATCAAACAAAATTTTTTACAAATAAGCCTTAAAATGCTAGCTGTCAGAATATATAATGATAACATGGTTTAGAATGAAAATCGTGGGAAAAATATGACTAATCCGTCTAGTGGTAAAAAAAAAAACGAAATTACTTTCCAAACAACCCAATAATTATTTACATCTATTTGCTATGAATATGTTCATTTCTGTTGATGAAGACAAAAATGTATTTTATAAGAAAACTCAGACATCTGAAAACAGCTCACAAAGTACAGTTTGCACAAAAACCTAAATAATTCAAAGCATAGGAAAGATCTACCATCATATCTAAATAATATTACTGAATCATCTTTTGATTGCAAGGAAAGTTACTAACCCTCCATACTGTCTTCATAAATGTTGTAAAGTTATCAACAATTAATTTATTATTCAACTATTAGACTTATCTAACATTTTCCCCTGTTCATCACACTGTATGAACAGATCTCAATTTGTGAAAATGACTGTTAATTTTCAAACAATGCAACATCAATATTTGGCACTAGACTATTTTGAAATGCAAACTGGTTTGTCTTAATTTGATATGTTTGTTTCAAATATTTATGAAAGTTTAGGATGTAAAAAATGCCTTTCTATGCAACTAGTTTGTGATTTCTTTGAAAGATCTTTTTACTTGTAAATTATTAGACATTGGATTTTTCCCTCAACTGCAGTAACAACTATTTCTAGAAGAATGGACAGTATTTCCTTCTTTGAACATTTATAGAATCTTCAGAATGATCTTTTCTTCTCCGTCATGCTTTTACATCCTTATACAGTCAAACCTCAGATTTCAAATGCCTCACTTTTTGAACAATTCAGTTTATGAACAAAATTTTTTGAATGCTATATTTTCTCCAGCTGTCGTATGATAACTCAAGTTGCTGAACATGCTACTCGGCAAGAGCTAGCCAGAGATTAGAGAGAGACATACGGCCAATTCCCTATACTTCCTGTATAAAAGAAAGTTGGCAGACCAACCAATCAATCTACTGACTCAGAAGTTATAGGTGCCATGATCACCTCATGTCATTAGATGTCGTGACACAGACTATCGATGATGATGTTATTCAAATTAGATTTCATTCCACATATTGGTAAGATATTATTTCCATTTATCGGCATGTGTCGCAATTGAATTTAAATCAAATTAATTAATAAAAACTGTGTTAATTGACATTTGCATAATATAAATGATACCCAAGAATTTATTTTTAAAGGTGCTTAACTCAAACTAAATAACAAAAATTTAATAATATAATATTAATATTTATTAATACTAGGTGGCCAGTTAATTAAAACTAAAAATAATTAAAACTCTGGTTTTTACACTGAAAGTGAAACTAAAATTTAAAATAAAATAAAAATTAATTATTAAAATTAAATCAATTGAAACAACATTTTGGAAAAAGTATGGATAAAATACTTGTCTGTCTTGATTGATTGATTTGGTTATACTGTATTTCATCCAGGCAGAGTTGAATCTCTGTTTATATTTATATATATATAACAAGCAAAATGTTATATACAGTACATATATATATAATACAGTATATATATATGTATATACTGTATTATATGTATATGTATATGTATATATATGTATATCCATTATACTGTATATATATATATATACAGTATAATGGATATAGATAATATTATATTGCATTTGTAGGCATTTTTATGCATGAAATACAGCTAAAAATAAAAAAGACTGCTTTGAGGATTGGGAACATATTAATCTATATTATAATTGTTTTTTTATGGGAAAATGTTTCAATTTTCAAACAACTTTCTGAAACAATTTCAGTTCAAAAACTGAGGTTTGACTGTACTCTATTTTGTTATAAAAAATACACACTAGGGAAAAAAAATTTCCAACTTTTCTTTTTATCTAAAAAATTCCAGATAGTTTTTACTCTAATTCAGTAAAACTTATTCATATTATGTATTTAAATCATAAATTACCTGAACTGTTCCCATTTGTATATAAAAGCCAGCTGTTCTGATATCATCATCTTTGTCGATATCCATTATAGATGCATTATCACAGCTTTAAAAAGAAAAGATTACTTTCTGTTAATTACACAATCATTAAAACATTCATCTGGAAGCAAAGATCAAATAGAGGCATAAATAGCACATTTCTACGGCAAGAAGTTATGGGTTTAAATCCCACTCTAAATTGATCTTTTCTTCCAGAACATTTTAAATTATTAAATTTAATTCTAAAATTAATGAAATCATTAATATTAGTATAAGATGACCTAATTATCTACTTTAATTCTATGTTACAGAGGGTAGGCTGTAAAAGAACAACTGTCTCTTATTTTCATTAAAAAATTTTACCATCCAACAGAATCTCAAAAAAAGGCTGATAAATTCTATTTCAATTTTGAGTTGGAAGTGCTGTCGTCTTATAAATATTTAGGTATTTATTTTACTCTGTGCAGGTCTCATTTTCATTTAGACGAAGTAATTATGAAATTTAAAAACTTAAACTTGCTAATTTAATAAAGCTTATGATCAGAATGAAGCAATCTTCTTGTTAAGTCATATTTTTGACTGTTCGATTTCTTGATACGATCGAGTTTGGGTTTTGTTTCCTATTTGGGGTTCATATCTTGTTGACAGACTGGAGAAAACTCCACAGAGATTCATTAGATCAATTTTTCATCTTACTTGTTCAGTGCCTGGACCTGCTTTGAGATCTGAATTGGATAGGCTGCTATTGGCTAAAAGTTTAACTATGGCTTTTTTTTTTTTTTTTTTTTTGTTACAGGTTCAAGATTCTAGAGCTGTCAGATTCTGATCACAGGAAATTGGTTTATAACAAATTAAAATTAGTAAGCACTAATTCTTCGCTCATAACTTGGGTTTCCTCAGTGGCATGTTTATTATCTACTTTGGAATTTCATCTATTTTTTGTACTCACTTTCATGATAAAAAGTTTTTGTTGAACTTCAACAGTCTTTGAGAGAGAAATATTGAGCTCAAGATAGTCTTTATATAGAGCAGAAGTATAGTTTGTTGGAAAATTCTTTAGCTTTTCTATGGACACCTCAAAGTTACTTGTTATTAAATTTAAACTATGAGATTAAATCTTTGATAATACAACTGTGGTTTAACAAATATACTGTGTTTTTAAATGTATGTATAATTAACATAACATCTTTTCTAATTGTTCCTTTTGTAATCTTTATTTTGAAAATGTTAAAAATTATTTGTATTTTGTGAATATACTGAACATTTAAAAAATAATTTTTCATTTAATTATTATCATATAAAGAATTAATACTGAAATCAGTTCAATTCTGTAACATTATTTAAACTATATAAATATTTTTGTTATTTAGTAAATATATTAAAATAGTTTTTTAAATTCAACACACATAATTGTACCTGGATAATGTTAATTATCATATTGTATGTAATAATGTTAAAGTTTTTGTACCCCTCCTTTGTAAAGGCAAAAAGCCTTATCAAAAAAATGGTTGGTTGATTGATTATTTCAAGTTACTTTGTTTTCCATGATAAAAGTCTAAAGTCTAGCCTAATTATATCCCAAAAGAAATACAGCTTAGCATAAATTATACTTATTAGGTTAAAATATTTTTAAAGTTAAAAATTAATCAATGGAACCAGCTATTTCATAAAATTAAAAAAAAAAATCATAAAACACTTACAAGAATTAACTTCTCATTCAATGTCGATTTTTAGAGATTGAGCGTTTAAGTTACACTACATGGCAGTCAAAAGAAACAGATTTTATTCTTATATTGGTTTGTTCAGAAAATAATTTTGTTTTTTTTACCACTAGACGGTTAGTCGTATTTTTCCCGTGATTTTCATTCTAAACCGTATTATCATTATATATTCTGACAGCTAGCATTTTAAGGCTTATTTGTAAAAAATTTTGTTTGATTTTGTACAATTGTTTATTTTTTGTGTCCCATCAAATATGGAAGATCGAAAGGAGCATTTTTGGCATATTTTGCTCATTTATTACCGAAAAGGTAAGAATGCCATTCAAGAGAGAAAAGAATTGTGTGACGTGTATGGAGAAGATGTATTGACAGAATGACAGTGTCAAAACTGGTTTACAAAATTTTGTTCTGGCAATTTCAATATTGAAGATGCACCACGTTCTGGATGGCCAGTTGAAGCCAATGAAAACAAAATAAAGGTACTGATTGAAGCAAACTGCCAAATAATAACATGTGAAATCACTAAAAGATTAAATTTGTAAAATTGAACTGTTTATGATTACTTGAAACAAATTGGTTTCATTTCAAAGCTTGATATATGAGTTCCACATGTTTTTAAAAAGAGATGCTCTCTTTGGTGGAATTTTAAGGACTTTTTTTTTAGAGCTTTTGCCAGACAATTTAACAATTGATTCGAAAGTGTACTGCCATCGAGTAAACAAATTGAGTAATATCATCAAACAGAATAGGCGGCCAGAATTGATCAACAAAACAGGTGTAGTGTTTTACTATGATAATGTCAAATTTCACACAAGTTTGGTAACTCCTCAGAAACTGTTATAACTTAGATGGGACGTGCTATCGCACAACCATACTCGCCAAATTGAGCACACTCAGATTATTACTTGTTCCGGTCTATACAAATTTTTTTTAACTGTAAGATATTTACTTGAAATGACAATGGCAAAAATCACTTGGATCAGTTTTTTGTAAGCAACGATCAAAACTTTTATGAATGTGAAATCATTCTACTACCAGAAACGATGACAACAAGTATTTGACCAAAATGGTCGATAAATAATTCAACAAAATATTTATTTATTATAAAAATATTGTTTTTTTTTTCCAAGGAAAAAAGTGAAATTACTTTCTGAACAACCCAATACTTTTAAAAAAATATCTCCAAATGCATTTTGCCTAGATTACTTAGTCTAGGCCTCTTCAGTGGGAGTACAGGATGGTGTAACAGGGAAACAACATGACATAGTACAAAACCAATTATTCAAATCATGCACATTATCCATAGAACAATTCAATTACGTGCAGTTCTATTGTGTTCAATATAATCCTATCCCAACATGCATCAACTACCATACTATTATTTAAATTAATATTATTTTTATATATTATTATTGCATAATGTTCTTTAATTCTCAATTTTACAATGTTATTTTCTTTATACAGTATTTTAATGTTATTTTATCTATTACACATATTTTCTTCAGTGCTGATACCATAATGAATTTTTGTCTATAAGCCACCAAGTGTTCTGCCAATCTTTTTTCTAATGGATGCTTTGTCTCTCTGATGTAGCAATTTTGGTTGACTTGCATGTTGGGATAAAATCTAGGCAAAATGCATTTGGAGGTATTTTTTTAAGAGTATAAGAATAAAATCTGTTTCTTTTGACTGCTGTATAGTGTAACTTAAATGCTCAATCTCTAAAAATCAGCATTGAATGAGAAGTTAATTCTTGTAAATGTTTTAAGATTATTTAAAAATATATATATAAATTAAAACTTCTTCCAAAACTTCAGACTATGAGGCGTTAAATATAATTAAAATATTTTATTCTTGGAACTTTCCAAATTGGTGATACAACAACATCACATAGCGCTTTGGAATCGGGTGGAAATACTCAAACGCTGTGATGAAGGGAGCTTGGTATATATTTGGGAGGCCATCCTCACAAAACTGCTCTCCCCGTGCAACTCCCCCACCCTCGACTTACCGGACGTCTGGATTAATATATACAGGCAGTTAAAAAATCAACAATAATTTTACATTCTTTTCCCGCACCTCCTACATGACTCAAAGCGCATACGTGTCGGCCTCACTATGTGCGTCTTTTTACGTGTTTTATGTATTTTAAATTATGTCCCATGCTTTAGTCTTTAATATTTAAATATTAATGTAAACTAGCACTTATGGATCTATTCTGTTCGGTTTCTATGCNTATTGTGTTCAATATAATCCTATCCCAACATGCATCAACTACCATACTATTATTTAAATTAATATTATTTTTATATATTATTATTGCATAATGTTCTTTAATTCTCAATTTTACAATGTTATTTTCTTTATACAGTATTTTAATGTTATTTTATCTATTACACATATTTTCTTCAGTGCTGATACCATAATGAATTTTTGTCTATAAGCCACCAAGTGTTCTGCCAATCTTTTTTCTAATGGATGCTTTGTCTCTCTGATGTAGCAATTTTGGTTGACTTGCATGTTGGGATAAAATCTAGGCAAAATGCATTTGGAGGTATTTTTTTAAGAGTATAAGAATAAAATCTGTTTCTTTTGACTGCTGTATAGTGTAACTTAAATGCTCAATCTCTAAAAATCAGCATTGAATGAGAAGTTAATTCTTGTAAATGTTTTAAGATTATTTAAAAATATATATATATATATATATATATTTGTGTGTGTTTAAATTTGTATGTATAAAAAATTGAAGTCAATTATGGCTTTATTACTTAATAAACAACTAATTAATGATACATCTAATGAGTAAGTAGACTATCATTGTGAAATTTATCAGCTAGTAAGAATATATTCAAGTAAATTATCCAAATACATTCATTTATTCAGAGTAAATACATAATAATAGTTAATTTGTATTGCTGGTTCAGCAATACAAATTAACTATTATTATGTTAAATTAGCTATGAATAGCTAACACCAATAATATAAACATTTCAAATATTTTTACTTTCAATTATTTATAGTGCCTTAAGAAATACAGAATTAAAAAAAATACAATTTCATAACTAAAATTTAAAGAATAAATAAAGTGCATATCAAAATTAAATAACAATCTATGATCAACTATTTTATAACAGTACAGTTATAAATTCAAATATCATTAAAACTATGAAATTGGCAATTTTGTTCATATCATAGGGATTTATCCATATACGTTCAGGAAATTTCCAAAATGCACACATTCTATAAATATAGACTGCATGATACTCTCTTTTTAAGTTTTAAAATATAATATAAGCAAGCTTTGAACTTTCAATATATGAACTGGGTTCAGTTTATTGAATAATTCAATTTAATCAGATTTGATTGTTTGATTTAGATTATTACACTTATCAATCTAAATAATGTTTATATAACTAATAGTTATTTTGGTAGAAATTAATATATTTTTATATTCATTCTATTTATTGCAGTAATACTTACGATGCAAATCTCTCAGTAACTCCATCACACCATTTCTTAAAACCACCAGTAACAATAATAGCAGCAATAAGTGATAAAGCTGTTAAAAGAAGGTTATCAACAGTATCCAAAAATGCTGAAAGAAAAGAGCTGTAAAAATAAAAAATTAATTTGTTAAACAGAGCACAATATAAATAAAATTATATATTTAAAGAAAATTTTTATTAATTTTGACTATTTTCAAGCAGATATTCTAGTTTACTTCAACCAATATATGACCCTGTCATAATTATGCAAGTGAATTTTTTTCTATTAATAAACATGCATTGTGTGTCATTCTGAACACCAATATTAACACTTTCTAGTTTATGGACAAGTCTCAATCATTCACATTTTTACATGTTATTCTATGTAGCTAGACAGCTTAGACTTGTCTATAGTCAATGTAGGAAATATGTTTAATAAAAAGTTAGAAATCACTCTCAGCTGGAAAATAGCAAATGCTCCAACACCTTATTTGCTGAGAAAAACTAATTTTTCATGAATGTTTTAAACCTGTTCTACAAGTCATTCTCAAGTGCAGTATACAAGCTAATCTTTGTAAATCAAACATTCTCAAAACAAATTTTTCAAATGTTGGAACAAATTTAAATACAAATCTTGGAACATATTACAAATTTAAGTAACATACCACCAAATATAATACAACATACAAAAAAAAATGTCTGAATGCTAGAGATGCTAAAGGCTTACCAATGGCTTGAAAGTATATTGTGGAAAAGAAAATAATAATATGATAATTCATAACTTAACTTTTTAAGGTTCTTACAACCAAGAATGAACTTTGTTTTTCATTTTTGTTATTTGGTCACTTATTTTTCAATATTTATTCATTTAGTTACAACGTATCAAACTACTCATTTATCAAAGTATCCTTCGACAGATAATGTACAAAAATTTTTTTATGTATCCTATTCTCCAAAAAATGTATTAAGCAGATGTTATTACTATGAGCCTGCATTATAGACTAAAAAAGGGCATCTTAAAAACAAAAAAGAGGATCAAATGGGGACCATCTATAGCAATTTTTATTTTTTCAAATTTTTTTTTCTTTCATTCTTGATTTCTGTCAAGCACGACCTTCCAACTCATAAACTTTCAAGCATGAAATCAATGTTTTCCTAGAAATTCGGATCTTTTTCAGCTTCTTTAATAGTTCATTTACAGGCTTTAGTCAATGTCTTTTCTATTCCGGTCTTAATGACCTTATTAAATATATATATATATATATATATATATATATTTTTTTCCTACTTTATTCTAAACTTATTTTTATTTTACATCGAATTTTTCTAATTCTTAGTCCTAACGATAATAAAAAGCATATAATAATACCAAAAATAGATGGATTAAAGCGAGAAATCTGATTATCGACTCTTAGAGATTGCTCACGTATTGTGCTTCTCATGCAAATCCTATCTGCTGCATTGTTATGGACTTTTCCTTAATATGAAAAAAGAGAAGAGAAAATAATATACCATTCTATCAGCGATAAGAGCCACAAAGTTCATTAATATTTATTAAATTATATATATAGAAAAAAAATTAATTCAAATTTAATTAAAAAGAAAAATTCCTTTNTTGGATTTATTCAAATAATAGTCACAACTATTATCAAAAACAGCAAAGTTTCTATAGAATATTATTCGAGTGTGATTATCACTTTACACTATCAAAAATGCATAAAGTGTACTAATAAAAACTACAAAGCATACCTTGTTTCCTCAATTAAATCCTGGGAGTTTATTTTTAAAACATATATCCTCTGGGAACCCCAAAAGATGGTTTTATTACCTTGCAACAGGAGATGAGTGGATAAAAATTGAAAGAAATACCTTAATTACACATTTTCCAAACTGTCAAAACCATTTATTGACTGTATGGTTAACAGCTATGAAAGCAATTTCTGTTTTCATAGTTAATCTAATTCAGTATCTTCCAATTTGGTTATTACATTGTCATTCAAGTCTGCTTCAATGTGATTGCAGAAATCAAGATTCTGACTGCCATCTTCTGGTACAAATTCATCATATCTTTCCAATTCAAGTCAATTCTTAATTACCCTACAGTTGATAAATTCTTAACTAATGAGCCTGATCATGACTCAAATATATAAAATTTTAAATAATATCAAATGTTGAGCAAGGGCAAGGACTTGCCCTTGCTCAACATTTGACACTATTTATAGTTCTATTTCAGAAAAATTTTCCTCTAATCTTGGAATAGAAAGTGCTGTCTGACTCCAAGACACTTTAAAGAGGTAGAATTTTAGTTAAACTCCTTACCTGCACTCTAAATTACATTTCCTATACACACTACAGTAATACCCCGACTTACACGAACCTGGAGTTACGCGATTTTCAAATCTCGCTGATTCGTCATTTGTTTGAGCGCCACGCAACCATTGATTACTCACTCCCCCCACACTATCGTTCAGCTTACATGTTCGGATGTGTCGCGCGGAATCCACATATAGCTACAATTTATTTTGTGTTATTTATTTCTGTGTTTGTTATATCTACGGAGACTCGCGAGACTCTACTATGTCATCCAAACGAAGTAGAACTAATTCTTCTGCATCAAACAAGAAAACAAAAACTTTATCTTTGGAATGTAAAGTTAACATTGGGTATGTTCGTAAAGTTGAACGAGTTAAGCGAGAATGAAGTCGTCGTTATTCCTATTTTGTTAGACTTTTCGAACAATTCGTTACTAACGTGTTTAACTCGTTTGACTTTACGAACGTACCCATTATTAAAGACTTTGATACAAAAATGAAAATTTGTGAATTGGCAAAGAAGTTTAATGTACCGGAATTGTCGGTCAGAATAATTATAAAAGGCAAAGAAAAAATTCTCGAAGCTGTGAAAAATGCTCAATCTTTAAATTCAAGCATCATTCGTAAATGTCACAGTATTATCGCTGAGATGGAAACAATGTTAAAATTATGGCGTAATAATCAAGTAAATGTGAAAAATTGTAAAATAATATAGGCCTAATTTGTTATACATATGTATTATCTAAGATTTTATTAAACATTTTTTTCTAAATTATTGTTTTCT